CAATTAAGGACAATTACTATGCCAAAAATGAGCGCGATCTGTCAGACAGTTCGTTTACGGCAGCTGTTGAAACCAGTTCACCTCAGTAGTGCGTTGCCAAAAAAACAATGGAAAAAAAATATTGAACAAAGAGTTTGCATCAAATTTTGTGTTTCGAACGAAATTTCGTGTGCAGAATCGTTGCGAATGCTACAAAAGGCTTATGGGAAATCAGTTTTATCGAAAACTCAAGTTTATGAGTGGTACAAAGCCTTTCAGGACGGTCGTACGACCGTCGAAGACATTTCGCAACGCACTACTGAGGTGAACTGGGTTCAACAGCTGCCGTAAACGAACTGTCTGACAGATCGCGCTCATTTTTGGCATAGTAATTAAGGACAGTGCTGCCAAACTACATAAACTTCAAATATCGAAAAATATACAGCGCGCGAATTTTAAATGAGAATTTCCGAAAACTTTTCAGTCTTAATGTATAACTTTGAAAAATGTTTAGTTTTTATTTTAAAACAAAAAAAAAATTTAAGAAAAATATCAATATTTAAGAATTTAAGTCAATGAAAACAATCATACATCAAATTCTGACCTTACAACTTATTTCGTGTATTGTTTTTGCTTCTCAACATTATACAAATAACGGGGCTTTAAAACTAATGGTATTTGACCTTAATATATAGTTTTTACGCGAATAGCGTCCAGACATGACTGTGCCCATTCCTGGGCACTACTGTTAAAAGAATCTTCATACAATTAGTCGTACAGTATAAAAATATCTTAATACTACAAGCGGAAATGCTCGTAACTAGAAAAACATAGAGCTTTTGAACTTGTTGATGATGACACTTTCTGCAGACATTTTTTTTTAATTCCAATTAAATATTTTTGGTGCAACTAGCTTTGAAAAACTTTTTAATACAGTAGTTTTTTGTAAAAGATTTTCTTATTCCTATTATTTGTTTTTAGTGCTATTATCTAGCACTCTTTTTATTAACATTTAAATTGCTTTTAATGCAGATATTTTTCTCACATACAAGCACAACTACAAGTGCTCGGTGAAGTGCTTCCTCCGATCCCGTCCTTTACAAGGAAACTCAAGTTACACGCATTGACGAGTTATTCCTGATGCTCACTTGGTGGTTCCGTAGACGATTGCATAACCCACTCCATGACGTCTCAACTCCTAGCCACTTCACTTTTCTCCATTTTTTCTATTATTCGTTCTGTATATTTAATATGATTAACTAGCACTTTTTTTTCTATTATTTTTGTGGATAAAAATGTGTCTGGTATGCGGATCAAATATTATAGTAAAACATTAAAGTTAAATTAAAATTAAATTTATTACATTATAAATTTTTTTTTTGTAAATTAATTCAAAAGTTGACATATATATATCGATGACGTCGAACACTTCGTTTGCCAAAATCAAATGTTGTTAGTCCAGAAAAAATTTAAAATATTCACTAAACTGGTTTGAAGTTGCCAGAGTTAAGTGATATTGTAAATATTATATGGTCCACATTCATCATGAACATTTTTAGCCATATTAAAAAGAGAAGACCGATAAATAAATGTATCGATGACATAGTAGAAGATCTTAACCTTTTGGGTGAGCTAGATTAAACGAATTTTTCTTCGAAGTGACTCACCATTCGGTATTCTCTAAATCTGGCCCCAGACAATTATCACGTGTTCCTAAGCAATACATAAAGATAATGTATGGTATCATAAAATAATATTTACGGTAGCCAAATTATATGAACAGCACTTCGCCATGCGTCTACACCAATTATTCTTAAAATTTGATCCTCTCCAAGTACCAATTGAATACAAATCATTTATCAAGATAATGTGACTTGGTACAATCCAATGATATCGCTTACCGATTTATATAAATTGCACACCAAATTGTTTTCCTATCTAATATTTTTCAAATCTTTCGCATAATGGCTATTATTTGATTTCAAATCATTTCTCAACAAAACGAACCTATGATATCGCTTACAGAATTATATAAATTGTGTTCGGATTCTCCAAGTCTGTACCCTAACGACTACTATATGCTCATCAAGCTTAGATAGAAGCTTGGAAGAAAGTGATTGAACAAGAATTAAGAAGTGTTCGCCATAATATAAACCTATTTGGACAGTTCTAACAAATCATAGTAGCAAAAAAAAATATTAAAATGATTTAATAAGAATTATAGGCTAATGTCTTGATGAATAAAACTAAATTTTACCGAAAATAATATATTTCCATATATTCCCACTTTTATAATTATCAAAGTGTAAGACTGACAAGCAACCCACTCTCTTCTCAATTTATGAGAAATTCAGAATTATAAAATGCTTCTAGCTGATTAAAGCGGAACTAGCTACTTATCTTCCTCTACCTGTATACTAGCTTAGTAATCATTTTTTGTATAACGTCTATAAAATTACAATAGTCCCACCTTACGACCCACAATGAGCTTGCCGCCTTTTCTTGTGAAACGTGTTAGAACAATGTATATAATATTTCACTCATTATTGAATAGTTTTGGAACCATGAACTATGCTACCGGAAATCACTATGAAACCCAAAAGCAAAAATCAAAACAAATTAGTAAAGTCAACTTAAATATTTACGTTTTAAGTTATTTGCATTTCAAAAATCCTGTTTGATTTTTACACTTCAGATCAAAGCACCTTACACTGCTAAAAAAAAATGAGCAAAAAAAACAAAACATTTGACGGTCACTGTAAGTAATTGCAAGTTTAACACTTTCCCTTTAACCCTACCACACCTGTCGTAAAGTTGCGGTATTTTTTGCAAAAAAGAAACAACAACAATGTTGAATAAAAATCTTCATAAATAAGAAAGTTGCATAATTTTTAATAAATATTTTTGCCAACTCAAACCCTAAAATACCCACAAAAAATAAATATTTTTTTTGTATTTTGTAAAAAAATTCAAAAATTAAACAACAACAAATTGTAAATAAATAAGTCCGCTGCGGGCTCTGCAATGAACTTCGGGAATTTCGCTTAACATTTCAGACTCAGATTTTTGTGATTAATTCATTCACGCGTTTCACCTCATTTACGCGGTGAATTTCAGCTTAGCGGAAAGCGGAATGGAAGAAACTATGCCACCAACAAATTTCTGGGCTTAACAAGGTTCGATTTAGTTTCTTTTCTTTTTTAGTTTTTTTTTTTCTTTTTATTTACATATGGTTATTTTTTTTCTGTTGTTGTTTTTGCATTATTACCGTATTTGTACGAGTAATAATAAAATCAAAAGCGAAAAACGCTGAAGACACACGAACGTGTGCTGCGGGTAAAGCTTACCAAAGACACGTTGCCCTCTTGTTAATAAAATGCACGTTTTTGACCTTGAGATTGTTATTGTTGTTGTTTCTCGATGTCGTTTGTTGCGTTTTTTTTTTAATAAAACATATTTTTATTTGCTTTTAGTAAAATAGACCACATACCCATATGGGTCTTACAATATTTTACTTATGAAATTTGTGGCGTGATATGTTATGAAATACCAATTCCATAAATCTATTAATTCCAATGTAAATGTAAAGAAAATATGATAGAGGATCCATAAGTTTTATAGATAATATATACAGTGCCTTAAAAAGATTAGATAAAGAATTAACATTGGTAATAGGTGCTACCATGGGCAATTAGCAGACAATTAGAATATAGAGCGCTCTTTCGACCAATAAAACTTTTGCTCCATATATTAATCAGCCTGTAGTACAGTATGTGTGGTGTATGGCGTAGAATCATGAGCGCCATGATGCTTTATCACGACATTAACATTGTTCAATGAATTAACTTCCATCGGCTTAGCTGATTTGATACTGTCGTGAGGATGGAAAGAAGTTTTTAAGCCGGCAGTTGGAGAAAAAATGCATATAGGAACAATATGTTTCAGTGGAGTCATCACTAATCATATGAGACTAAAGTTCCAGTGTTTTACGTGATCACCTGCCGTATAGGCTTAACATCATGTTACTCAAAAGCAAACTTCTTGATACAATGCGTTAATAAGCGCTCTCTTGGAATTAACTTCCGCAGGAACCAATGAAGAAATGTGTGTAAGTCATTACTTCCATCTCGGTTTAATGCGAGGCCCATCTAAAACCTCTGCTACAATGTGGGCTGTAGCACCCGGTGGTGAATACGCAACTCCACGCCGAATGCACCATAATATTTTTATTCTTCCCGCGTAAGTTTGGGTATTAACCACAGCCACTATGAACCCAACACCAATGGTCAAAACAGCCGAAGCAGCGGGCCACTGACACCCGTAGTACCAGATCGGATCATCTCTGGTCAGATGTCGCAAGTGCCGTGCCCATACGTACTTCCTACACAAGTACCGGATTGGCACCGTAATTTTAGTCGCCTTTTACGATAAGCATATCTACTGCGGAAATATTCTAGATCCCTTACCCGCAGGGGGCAACCATATGAGACTAGAGATTTCATTTCTTTCTCTAGGTAGATCTGCGCATGCAACAGAAAGCTGTGCTCTTAGCCCAATAACGAGTTAATAGAGCCAATAAGTATATAAGACTCAGTGAGAACTCAGCCAAACATCCTTATTTATATACGTAAACCACACTTTGTTTGAGCAAAGCATCTAAAAACAAATTAAATATATTGTACATATAGCATACACATAAGTTAACACCACTGCCCTATAGGCCCTAAGCAGTAGATGCGTTGCAATAAGCTTATATGTAGCGTATTAAAAAAATGTGGTATTATATTATTATTATTAGTATAAGAGACAAAGATACACCGCAAATTTTGAAATCCTATTTGCTTAACTTAATCTGAACAATATAATGGATTAATGGGTCTAAAACGAGAAATTGTTTTATGATTTAAATATTTTTTTGGATTTTATAAAATCCTTCAAATATAGTTTTAAAGGTTTTCGTCGATTTTTATTACAAAATTAAATTTTTTTATTTTTATTTTTTTTTTGTAATTAATACTTACTATCAAATCGAACTCCTTCTCCTTAATACGTCTGATGCACGTGGAGATTGTAGTTGTCATCTGTTCATATTCGCTCAAGAACTGTGCGCCAATCACATTATCATAATGGCTCATTTTATCACAAACACGCGCTTCCCTACTAATTGGAAAGTCAATTATACTGCCAACAAAATACGGATTTTGTAAAATAGTTTAAATATTTTAAAAATTAATTAGCAAAACTAAAACCAACTGGAAACTTAAAAGATTTTACGTAAACGTGAAAACCGTAATCAAAAATAAAAAAATATAAACTAATTTGCACCCAGTTGCTAAGATGAGCAGATTTTAAGAGATTTTTAATAAAAAAGTAACAAGTACATTGTTAAGGCAATTATGATATGGAACGACAGTGTTTATATACCTAAAATAGATTAGAATATAATTAGATAACTTATGAAAGTGTCATATACATTAACACGAGTTTAATCCGGATTAATTGAATAGAAACTGGAACCCAAATCCACATCTATTATAGTTAAACTACAAAACTAGAAGAGTGCTGTCTGGATCAATAATTCAATAATATTGTTGACATTGAATAAGATAAGATTTAGATTAAGATGGCAAAATAATTTCTCAAATAAAATTTCAAAAGGGCCCAATTTATTAGAATAGAATCAAATCAACATTGCCTAGATTATATTAGTACAGTTTGTGGAAAGCATATTCCCATTCAAATTCGCATTTGAATTCCATGAAACCAATCCTTTTCAGATACCTTATGAGTAGTCATATTTGTCATTGTGTCGATTTGGCTATACGATAACTTTTTTACATCCAGTTTTTAGCCTTATAAATCAAAGAACTAAAAGGGTATTGAATTTACAATTGAGTAGATTCTTCCATTTCACTATTCTATACTATCTATATCTAGAGATATTTCTATATTCTACATTCACTACATTCGGTAAAATGACAATGAATTGATACAAAATGATCCAAATTGATACACAATTTCTGGTATTCGCTTAGTTCTGCTATGTACCATATTACAAAGCAAAACATTTTTTTAATTCAAAACTTTACCATTAAAAACCGTATAAATGGTTTCCATTATCTTACTTCTTAAAAAAGTTTTCTCTCTACTGCTATTGTATACGAAATTAGGGGAGAAATGTAGTGGTCGTAATATATTTTAAAACATTTTACACTAGATACACTGAATTTTTTCAAGTAAATATTTTCAAACCTCGATTTGATTTACAAAAACGAACCCTTAAAAAAGGTTGCTGTATATGTCACTGCTTCACTATATTACCTTTTTTCCAACCGACGGCTGAAGCCATATCGCATGTTTCTTAATAAATTGTATTAAATATTACTTATATTCGTGATCAAAAGGCAAAGAATACTAATTTGATATATCCAAAACTCATGCATTTATTTCTTTTATACGTAAGAGCTAGCAAGATTAAACAACCCACAACCCCTAATAAAGTTTCAATGTCTATATAAGGTTCTACAATGATGTCTTCCTTGTTTTTCCTAATAGATTTCTCCAATACTGCACTGTTGCTTGTGGTACTCGTGACTATTCTCATATATATTAAAATAATTCTAAATTTATATAAATATCTGCACACGTCTTCTAGCACTTTCTTCGAAGCTTTGCAATATATTTTCTTACAGTACTAAATAAACTCCAACACTTAAAAAAATTTCATGTTCTCATTTAAAAATCCTCTGAACAGATTATTATGTATAGTAATACAACTTTACCACTTCTTACAACAAAAGTTATTACCTATACCTTATAGGTAATATTTTTGCCACATATATATCGAACTTTCCATTAAGTTCTTTGGTTTACTGACAGAACAGTCACCAAGCAAATCATCTTCCTACAACAAGCAAAGGTCTAAGTTCTGTTCACAGAAGGATGGGTACATCCTTGAAGATACATTCATTTTATCGCAACTGTAATCACTTAACTAACAACTGAATATTACAATAGATGATTCACAATGAGAACTTTGTAAAATATAATTCTATTCCCAAATTGGCCTTTGTCCCAAAATTTGATGGTGCAACGATGTTGAGTAGAGAAGAGCACTTAACAAAAAGCTTCCCACACGTGAACACATTGGCACAAAGATTTTCAAATTTGTTTGCATAACAACAAATGCAACTTTGACTATGAATAAAAGTAAATGAAGATATATATCTATATATATGTTTAATAAATTATTATTTTTTTTTATTGTTAATAAATTAGTTAAATTAATTTACTTTTACTTCAAAACTTCACGCACGATTTCGCAAGCGCGAAGCAATTGACGTTTTTAATTTCAACCGAACGTAATTAATAACAGAAAATCTACTCACGGCAAAACGCTTCTTGATTGAGAAACGCTAGCGTTGAACTAATTCAAATGCAATCGGCATGCTTTAAGCATTTCTAATAGAACGGTATTTAGCATAAAACACACAGAGACGCTTCACGGAAATTTCGAAAGGGGCTAACACCTAATAAATGGAAAAGTCAACTTTGAAGGCCCCTTACATACGACAAATAATTTGAAGTGTTTCGTTGTATATATATATATTTATATATATTGATGTATATAGATATATCTAGATAAAAATCTAGATATATATTATATATTACAAAACAGTAATGATAAATATACCGGGGTTTCACCTGCAACCTTTTCTGGTGATAATATCTAGTCACGCACAAATTCTAGCTATACAAAAATGACATACTAAGTATAATAGGCAAACAGATTAATTCTTCATTAAAATTAGAAGATGCTTCATTCATAGACTTCTGGCTATGACTTTTTATGCTTAGTGAGTCAGTATATAGTTGTCCTTAAACTTTAATATAATATTTATTAATATGTTTATATATGATATATATAATATGTTTATATATGTTATATATGTTAATATGTTATTATTTATTTAATATGTTCTGTAGCTGATTGTGACCTTAGTACAAGTGGCCAATATAGACTTCTGGCTATGACTTTTTATGCTTGGTGAGTCTACAATCCAGTTTCAAATCAATATATATTTTTCTTTAAATTTAAATATGATATTTATTATACATTAAGAGCTAAAATAGGACAATCTCTGCTTAAAGTAACATTAAAACAAATACTAATTTACCAGCGTTTATTTAAATGTTACAAGTCCTGATACATCTTCCATTATCTGCAATTCAATTTGGAAGAGCTCAAACAACATAAATGAAAATGTATATGCTTTATATACATTTATGGATGTATAGTTAAAAAATATAGTTGTGGTGTTTTATTTAATATTCATAAGGTACCATATATAAGTAATGATAAAGGTATATTATAATGATAAACGTATGTACAGGTTTATTACAATTCATTCATCCTAAGAAATGACAGCTATATGGTTGACAGTTTGATTTTTATCTATATGTAATACCATATCCATAATATGGTATTAATAATTATTATGTATAATAAAATAATATATATGATATATATGATAATATATGATTTTAATGTGAAATATAGAGTTCTATTTTTTAATTATTAGACATTTCGGAGAACTAATAAAGTTCAACTATTTTCCACGAAATATTGTTTGGATCTCCTCTGTTGTTTTTGAAATTGACTATCTCAGCTTTAAAATCTAACACAGAAAAATCTGTTTCTTGGTTTTATATAAAGGAAATTTCAGAATATTATATCTATGATCGCACGAAACTATCTGGCATAAAAATTCCAGAATACCATGTCTATGACAGTAAGCAAGTAGATAGGTTTCCATATTACCATAAAAATGCTGTAGCATACGTAGTGTAATCATAAAACTGGCTAATGAGATACGTTATAGAACACAACTAGAGTTTCAATAGATAATCTTTTTGACACTTCTTTTTATATATGCATATATATATTGTATGTCAGTATTTATAAATATATTATTTTATGACTTTATATGTAATATAGCACCTTTTATGTGTAATCACATTTATTGGAATAAACATATATTACTTATGATATATATTAGTTATATAAATTATTAGAACAAATGCATGAAAAGCGTTTTAGTATTCATATATGAATATCATATAATGAAATGATAAGGTATATAATATATTGATTGTGTACGCATTTAACCCTTTGTAAATATTTAAAAATTGACTTTTTAAAAGCATAAAATAAAAAAAAATAATTTAAACAAAATGTGGTACCACATATTATTGTAAAATAATGTGTTCATATAAGCAACTTAGTTTAAATCTACAAGTATTTACCCTTCGTTTGTTAATGACTTAGACTAAGGTTTACACATTTCCTTCATAAGTTCTTTTCATTTTTTTTTCATAATGTAAAGAAAAAAACTATATGAAAGATAAATGTTTTAATTCTGTTTACTTGAGCTTTTTCCATTTTATTCGTATTCATTTACTATCCATTTATTTAATTAATCTTTTATAGGTTTTCAGAAAAAAAGTTTAGAACGCATCACACTTGTGGATTATAATGACTTTGTTTTTTTTTTCCTTCATTCAATTATATAAAAAATTCCGATTATCAGATATAAATATTGTCTAAAATGCCGCACAATCCTATGTGAGACATGAATTTATAGGTCATTCCTAATTAAAATAATATATATTATTAATGTTAATTTTTGCTTGCCGAAAGTGATGCGTATTAAAGACTACTGTGCTAAACTTTGCTAAGTCGAAATCCCTCTTATATTTAACAATGTTATTATACAGGAAATTATTTGATAATTTTCTTTCTTTACCGAAAGAATAATAGTCATATTTTTCTTTCGACATCTACTTCCTTTCCTTTTGTTTTATGCTGGAATTGGTTATGGAAAAACCTTAACTCTCTTATGTGGGCGAGATTATGGTAATTTCACTGTAATCGTGTGATCTTAAAGTTTGCTCCCTCTTGTTTTATTCTGGAGTTGGTTATGGAAAAACCTTTACTCCCTTATGAGATAAGTGTCAATCCATGCATTTATATAAGTATCGATACTTTCAGTTACCATACTATAGCTAGTAGTCCGAAAGGTTCATTGAATTATTATCGGGACGCTTCACATGCTTCATATAAATGTCAATCCATGCATTTATAAGTATCGATACTTTCAGTTTCCATACTATCCCTAGTAGTCCGAAACCTTAATTAATTTATTATCGGGACGCTCTACATGCCACAGATAGATCTAAAAAACGATCTATAAATGCATGTCTCAAATCGTCCAATCGTCTCGATATCTACTTGGTATTGAAGGAAAACAAATTGATTTCGAAAGACAAGTACCTTGAAGTTTTTATATTAGACAAGTATAACACTTAATAATAATTTTTTTGTAGTTACCTTAATTTTATATATAATTCCTTGGACGTAACCCATAAGTCCGTTACGCCCAAGATTATTTTGCAATTTATTAATATAAGTTATATTATTGTCCCCTTTAAAAGATTTTTGACAACATCACTGTCCGAAGTAGTCCTAATAAATAAGTGAATAATGTTCTCTTTGTAAGAAAGTCAACTCTCACGTGATAAAAAACTCAATACGCAAATGAGCATAAAAACAGATTCTTCAGTTAAAAATAACTAATGCCGTCTCTGATATTGTACCGCGAGAGAATACCATCCACACATTTTACAATTAAATCACAATGATTTTAATTTAATTGAGACGATCTACAGCCGCATAGTAATAAACTTTGCAGACAATTTAAAAAAATTTCTAGAGAATTTTTTTTAAATCAATTGAACAGACAATATTTTTTCAATTTAATTGTATTTTTATTTTTTTTTTTTTCATCTTAAAACTGCTCATCTTATGTTTTCTTACAGCATTGCATTGGTTGGGAAAGATTGGTAAAACAAGAACTTGTCGAGAGAATCATCGCCCTTCACATTGACCCTTCATACATAAAATTAATTTTTGGCAATTATAATAAACTGCATCATAAAAAAAATTAATAAAATATTTAAGTTGTGCAATTTCTTGAGCTGACCACACAAGGTTAGTGATATAGCACTGATGATAAAAATAAATTTCTATGTCAAATATATATAGTATTTTATATCGGAACTATATATATAGGGAATCAAATATATAATTACGGGCAATTGCATGTTTTTTATAAATGTAGATAAATGTAAATATGTAGATAAATGTAGATATATAGATAAATGTAGATATGTAGATAAATGTGGATATGTAGATAAAAATAGATATGTAGATGTGATATGTAGATAAATGCAACTTTAATCCACAGATACAGCAGATACTTATAATATAAACTGATGATAGTGAAAGTAGGAATATTAATTGATGAACCCAAAAAGAAAAATATGTACAAATAATATTTAATCAAATTAAATATTTATTTAAACAGTTTTAAGCTTTAAATGAAATGCTTATTGGTGTCATACAATGCCACTTTTAATTTAAATTTAATATGTATATTGTTCTGTACTAAAACAACGATTTTTGAATTAGTAATCTGAAAATGTTTTTCACAAAGTTAATGGAAATGCAAATTAATTGTTGTTATTAAAAATACTAAATTAGATAACAATTTAAAAACAACGAAAACATTGTTTGAATATCAGTCTAAGCCCCTGAAATAACACATTTAGAATTTGCTACAATTGAAACAAATCAATAAAGCACAACGTTTAAGCTGGCTGTGGTATTTCCCGACACTATCCGAAAGTCGGATAACAATACAGATTCAAATGGATCCTTCAAAGTTAACAAAGACAAGTAAAAGACTATTACATTTATGATTTTTTGCAGTAGAGGTAGATTTCATAGTAAAGAATTCAATATATGGCACAAAAGATCTGTTAAAGTTAATATGGAAATGGTAAGCGACACTTAACTATCCCATTTCGGAAACTACGCTACTTCTGTAATAAGCCCTATTAATTGTAGTTGTAGGCCTTAATTGACATTTAAAATATAAAAATCAAATATAATAAATAGAATAGTTCTACATAAATAAATCAAAACTATCTGAACTTACTGGTATATAAATATATATATGTACTAAATCTTGACCATGAAAATCACAGTAATTTTGTTTTTCTCAATATGACCACATACATGACATCGATTTTCAAGACGATTTTGTTGTGTTCTTCAAAATAAAATACATACGAAGTCATAGAGAAGTGATAGAGTCTACTCTTAGGTTTAAATCAACTTTTTCCTTATTTCACTGTAATCTTACTTAATGCTCTTTACTTTCTATATATTTCCTATCAAACTTCAACAAATCCAACTTATTCAACATTTAGCTTATTGTTCTCTCTCGATAGGTCGAAGTCTCTCAGCTTGAGGAAGGACTCAAGCTGATCTACATAACCTAATCATAGCGGCAATACAGTATAGTAAGTAGCAAAATAGATTATCGAGTGCTGCAATCTTTACCTATACATAAACAACAAGTCTCTTTTATGATTCCTTGAACTAAATACTCACGCAAATTTGAACCTAATTGATTTATGACCAGCTTATTCACGTGGCAAAATATCTCTACCTGTATCCGTGCTAGTTTCACACTCCTACTTATTTTGTTATACTCACTCTTATCTTTCTCATACAAGTACATTACTTACTTTCCCACATTACTTTCTTTCCCATAAAATAACCATCCATTACACATTACACATTAGTTTCCCATACAATAACCATCCTAACCTCCATTGTGCAATGTATTGCAAGCTTTTATATACTTACTTTAAAGTTGCCGTATGGCTACGACACATTGGCAAAAGCCCTCATTAGATCTACCATATACTACAGGTATAGAGATCATAGAACGCTAGCTATTTATTAAATTACTCTACACTATCTCGCTTGAATCGTAAATAAGTCGATTTACTTACAACTACTTTTCAGCTTCCTTGTAAGCTCTTGAATAGTTTTTTCCATTCTGTTACATATTTCCAAATAAAATATACTACTAAAAGATGACTTTAAATAAATATATTTTCTTTATTTATTTGTGAGGTCATATCCTTCTATTAATTCGCTTAAAACTGTGACCAGAATATATACAATCTAAAAGGCACCTTCGGAAACACGACAGCAAATAAAATCGGCACCGGTGGGTATTTTTGCAGAACCCAAAATATAGTTGTATATTTGCAGAGTATACAACTCTACAAATCTTCGCTTATTCAACATATATATATATATATTAAATCTTATTTAGACTTAAACTAATCATAAGAGATAGATATCAGACTCTGACAAAATGGAGCAATGATAATTTGAACAAGTGTTGTGGTGAAACCCTCCAAAGCCTCAGATGACCAGTGAGCCATAATGTAAAGGAAAACGATAGCACGTGAGCTAAGATATGTAGAGTATTCCCGGAACTCAACCGTTATCTCTACGTCGCTCCTATAACAAAATCAGGTGTAAATTGACGAGACTCCACGCTCAGAATAATTAGTTTCTTCTTTCTAAATGATTCATGTTCAATTCAGGAACATACTTTTTAAACACCAGAGTAACGTTCACATTCTAGTTATAGAAAACCTATTTAATTATAGTCAATCTGTAATTGTAGTTGTAGCCCAAAGGGCTTCAACGACACTTGATCGCGTCTACATACAACTAACTGAATCCGGGACATAAACTTCCCGGTTTTTGAAACTGTAACAACTTACAATTCTAATCATTTTTAATAAATATTAAACTCACAATTATAGGTTTCTTTCACAAATTTTTTGGGATTATTTGCCTACAATCTCTTATCAAATCGGTTCATATATGATGTATTGCTCATAGTTCTGCAAACCTACTATTTTTTTAAACTCATCGAACTTATGTACTAGACTTAAATCTTCGCTTCTATTTGAATTCAATATGCTTCAGTTTACTCTTAACCAGTGAAAAACATTCTTTTAGTGAAAATGAGTCTCTTTAGATGCTGTTACTGTTGTAGCCCGCGGTGATTATTAAGTCCCTTTCGGGTGGAAAGGGATTTGGTGAAAGACAATTGGTCGTCGAAAGTGACGAGTGGTTTTGGAACGTAGACCCGGCCATTCTTAGAACCTCTTTAGATGTTAGTTCACAGGAGTAATATTAGTTTATAGACAAACCTATTAGAGCAGCTTGGGATACACGCATACGAATATGGGATTTTCCTATTTATAAGTATCGAAGCAGCTCTTAGAAGCTATTTCAGTTACTCTAAGATGTTGAATCAACTCTTAGATATTCAAACTACTCATACTGTTCAGCTGCCTCATGTCACATACTATTTTAAATTGTTCTTTACAAGTACATATTTATATCGAATGATGGAACATGATATAGTGTTCCCAAATGTTCCAGCTTCGAATATCAGGTCTTGTATTTGATTTAAATGCACTTAAGTAGATTTTATCTTTTTTGCAGATGCAATTGTAAAACTTTCTCTGACAATGATTTTAGCATTAGTTTGTTGACTACTGATATTATTCTGAGAAAAACATTCATAGCTATTTATGTCGACTTTCGATGTTCTAAATTTTTTCGAAACTTGAGTTGCCTAAACCCATTTATCTTTCGAAGGATATCTGCTAATCCAAAAACGCTAAAAATATTAAATTTAAAGTTTTATTAGAAAAAAAATTACGATTTTAACACATTCACCAATATCTTTTTAGAAAAACAAAAAAAATTCTGAGGAGAAAATTATATTGTTTCTCAGGCTTCTCATTTAAATATGCACACAATAGTAAAAATTATGAAAATTATTTAAATTAACTACTAATTAAGAGTTTTCTTATATTCTTCTTTTTATCATTTTAGCAAAATATTTCAATATTTGTTCTTCGATATTATTTCTTTTATATATGTTTAATTATATAATAAAATAAACCACACTTAAATCTGACGAACGAGAAAGGATGTGTCTCTCTGTTATATGTAGGCAAGCTTAAAAGTATATATATGTATGTAAGTGTATGTATCGTATGTGTATGGGTGTGTGTGTGTGTGAATTGTATGTATATATGTAGAGCAGTATATTTATTTATATATATGAATATATATATATATATTTTCAATATACACAAACATAGCTAATATTTTGGTTATACTGATCTTCAGATAATTTCTACCCTTTTAACTAACAATTTCGAAAAGTGTATATAATACAGTTTATAAGACCTTGCTTCTTTCACTCTGGAAACGTTTATTTCAACAGATATCCAAAGTGCGAAAATGAAACTCTAATCAGAAAGTACCAACTCTAAATAATAAAAGCCTTAATAGACTTTCAATTTGGTACAAACAAATAAATCTAAACGTTCCATACTTGACTGATGGTCGAGTCGAAAGTTTGCAATTTTGCTATATTTTCACAATTGCGATCTTATCTCATTTTTCTCTTTTTTTTATTTTTTCTTCTGAAGAATATATTTAATTATAATTTATAATAATATTAATTATAAATGTAGTAATTATAAGTAAGTTTGTTGGGTTTTGTATTTTTTTTTTTAAATTTTTTTAAATATTTTTTTTTTTTGAATTATTGTAAATTTTTCTCTGCTTAATTTTTAGATGTTTTTTTTTTACTTTTTTGTTGGTTTATTTATTTTTTATTTATTAATTTACTGTTGCATTCATTTTATATTGTTTTTGTAATAAATTTAATTAACCAAATTGTTGTTCAACATTTCGATGTTGCTTATGTTGAAAAAAATTTTAGTGTTGCTATTAGAATTTTTCATGTTGGAGAACTGCATTTCTTGTTGGTTGCTTTGGATGTTGTAGCAGCAAACGTTTGTAGTAATTATGATGTTTTTATATAATTTTGACGGATCAATTAGGCATACTAGAACGCATCACATAGCATACTTTCGTGTCCATTCACGTGCTAACTCATTATATTTTTCACGGTCGGTCTTATATATTCTAGCAATCTCCGGAACAAGTGGATCATCTGGATTTGGATCACAGAGAAGAGAGCAAATAGACAGCAAAACTGAAAATAATATAAAATTATATATATTATTATTATTATTGTTCTGTATATATGAGAAAAAATAGTTAATTACCTTTTGATATAGTGAGTGCTGGCGACCATTGAGAACGTAATATATCGAGGCAAATAGATCCATTACTATTGATATTTGGATGGTAAATACGCGTTGTAAAGGCCACCTTAGGGGGCTTAAATGGGTAATCTGTTGGAAAGTGAATAGTTAAAAAGAATACGCCTCCCTGATATGGACTGTCCGGCTAAACAAAGAAAGAAAACAATGGAAAGATTAGTTTATTTATTATTCATAATTTAAAATTTAGTTAACATTGGATATAATAATAAAATAATATAATAATAGAGTACTACAACTATAGAATAATATAATAGAATAATATATTAATAGAGTAATATAGTTATAGAATAGAATAATAGAATAATAGAATAATATAATAATAGAAAAATATAATAGAACAATATATTAATATAACAGTAATATATAACATGGTATAATAAAAGAAAAGTATATTAATGGAATATATTAATTAGATTATAATAATTGAATAATGTAATATAATAAAATAATAGATAATTTGTAGTAGAAAATAAAAAGCAATTTAATAAGTACAAATTGGGCTAACCATTTCATTTTTAACAATTATTACTTGTAAATAAATTAGGTAAATCATAAGAATATTTTATTTATTGCAAAATATCGATAAACAATAATCTGAATAAACCCTAGACTGAAACCATAGACTAGACTGAATAATCAAAATTTTTGCCTACTATTAGTTGAATAAAAAGTGCTAACCATACAGATGCATGATTTATTGCTATATACTAAAAATTTTAATCAACCCTGGATTGATAATACTACTGTATACGGTTAATTCCTCAAGTACCCGTACAATCGTTGTAACAGTAACAGTATCTACTTAGAAAGACTGAAAGTAAGATTAGTTTTACAGTCTTTGTTGGGAAGTGTGAGTATCATTTCGTTGTCTGAAATGACGAGTAACTTCAGAACGTAATACCGGCTACTCTTGAAATCACGTAACGATACGTCTCTTGTTGTGGTTGTTGCAACCTATCACATTTTAAAAAGCAAGTGTACAAAAGAATATGAAAACGTATATAAATAGGAATAGTTAGGATAAAAATGAGACGAATGTCTGGAAATAATTAAACCTAGCCTGATTCCGTATAGTAATTTTGTCTTAATGAAGAGAAACCATGAGTAATGATATTAATGTAATTATCAAATGATAATGACGTTACTCTTTTGTGGTAGATGGGACTTAACATCTTTATAATGAATTGAAGTTTGATTTTGTTTCGTAAATTTAAAATTTTAGTTTCTTGTTGTTTTAGTAACTTTAAAAACTGTTGTAAGCCTTACATAAAACTTATATTTAAAAATGAGTATATTATATATAAGTATATCATATACTCATATGGAAGAGTTGTTATAGCACAACAAGACGTTAGGTGAACGTAGAGATCCATTCCTAAATTGTAACTAAGAAATTGCAAGCAAGTGTATTACCGTACAAAACCCATTTCACGACAGATTTTCTAACAGGTAAATAATCTAATATTTGACCATACTAAGTTGGTGTGTGGAGATTCTATGGCCGACGACCCTACATTATACGGACAAGAACGATGCACGTTTGTGGAAGAAAACTAAGTAGTAAGTAAATACTTTAACAAACACCACTGTAAGAAAATTCTGATTCTAGATTCAGTGATTCAGTTGGAACACAATTGATCTAAATCACTAAAGACCATATAAAAGAAAACTCTCAATGTTTATATATTCTGTTATATATGTTTAAGATTTTTATTCGAAACCATATTTAAATATATAAATTAGAGATTCCGCTATCAAAACATTTATTTTTCATCTATCTATAATTTATATTGAATATTAACAGTGTTGAAGACGTATACACGAACTGCAACGTAGTTATGGTTACATTACAGTCATTTTAATACAATAATATGTTTCAATTATAGATAATATATACGGAAATTGTTTTTTATAAAAACTATTCAAACCCTACAGCTACATGTAGCATAATGTAGTATTAAATAGATATATACTCAATTTATTATGTATTAGAATAAGTAAGCAGAATGTAAATACATAGTTATATTAATATAATTAATTTTGTAATTACCGGTCCCATTATTGTTGCCTGCCAGTGAAACACTGAAAAAGAGAAGAATAAATTAAATTAGTTTTATTTGCAAATAATAGATATATGAGTATTTTTAAATTACAATATATTTAAAATGGTAAATAGGCATAGATATATTTATTTTTTAAAATGAAATTAAACTATTATAAATAAATTAAAATATACATAAACAATAGTCGAATATGAGATTGCTTATGAGCTAGAAATTATTTCAATTTCTATTAAATTAAATTCTATAAGTAAAAGAGGTTTTATAACAATTTCAACTAATGTGACTTTGCTTTTTAAATTAAATTCCTTTACATAAAATAAATTACAGTTAATCTTAATTGTTAAAGAATATTATTTTTATAATTGTTATATCTTGCTCATGCTCTCTGTCTATCTCTCTCTGTCTTTGTTCTCTTGTATTATTTAAAGTTATTTCAGTATAAATAAAACCTTATTCTATTAAATACTTTTTTAAATACAGAAACCTAAACATCAAATAATTTTTGTTATGTATTTCCCGCCCTTCAATTTTTGTTTACTTTTGACATTTTGTTTTTCTCATATGACAGTAGGTATAATACTACACATTACCCACCCAATATTGGAATTTCTTTTTGGTAACAGCTGATTGCAAACACTAAAACCACCCTCTCTTGCTGCTATTAAAATAAAATCCACTAACCTTATACTTTTCTATTTAAATTATTGGTAGATTGTGGATACATTATTTTGCAGGTCATTTAGAAAAAAAAAAAAACCCAACTAAAAGACAAATCGATATATACAACATCTAAATAAAAAAAAATTGTCTCAATTAATTAAATAATACTTTTCAATTATATTAATTAAAAAAACTAGATACAAGACGTAGAAAATACACTTCACTGCTCCCAATGAGTTCTATTGTGTTATAATTCGAATTTTAACTAATAGTATATTTATATTAAATCCTAATTAGAAAGAATGGTGAAACGAAAAAAAATATACAAATGATAAGAAGCATTATTTATATATCATTGAATCACAAACTTAACACAATCTCCGCATATAAGATAAGAACAGATGACATAGCAATTTAGTGCATATACTTACAATAGAAGATAAAGTGTAGAATTACACATATAAACTAAACTAATGAAAGATTAAACGAAATTTAAGTAAAATTGTACTTAATAGTTAAAATTTAATATTAGGTAAGATAAGGTTCCATTAGCTGTCATCGTTATATTACAGAAGGTCGCTAAAATAGTTATTGAGGACGCTAAAATAATTATAAAAGAAGAAACATATTTTTAGGAACACTCATCAGGAAAAACAAAAAATCTATAAAACTGTATTAGCTCAACTGGATAGATATAGATAATCTATACGAATTTCTTGTGTGGAAAATAGTATTCGAACAACCAATTATGGTATGGTTATCTGTCACTAAAATCAACGAAATTACCGACAGTGGTCGAAAATAATATAATTCTTTTTTATATGTTTAAACATTTTGAATTGTTAATTTTGAACATTTTGATTTTACTTGTGTACCTTTTAGTTCCATATCTGCCTAAACTTGTAATTATTGACGGTAATATGAAATATAATGTAATCATAAACTATACTCTTATCACTGCAGTTTTAGATTTTATTCGAATGACAAATTCGTTATTAATTAAGATTAGGCGCTTATGCTAGTCAAAAGCATACTAAGTAAAATACTTAAAAGATTTAATTGGGAAAGCAATATATAGAGAGGATGTCATCTATGAAGTAATAAGTATTAATTGTTCTCTGCTTTCCTGACATGCATTTCAATTATATATTGATCACTGAAGAAGTAAATCAATGCGGAAGGAAGGGAAGATTGTGCGGAGGAACATAGCACACTTTGGATGTAACTATAAATACCAATGAAAACCGGTAACAAACAAGATGAATCACGCGTAGACCTTATCAGGTAAAAATATTGTAATATCATCAGAACTGATATGGCACGCTAGCTAAGTAATTTAATTATATAAACAAATCTTTTAGGCTAAACCAAGAGTGCAATCATTGTTTTAAGAAAACTATTTTTTATATATTCGATACTTCGAATAAGTTAAGAAAAACAAGACTTAGAAGAGAATGATTGCATCCGATTGATATATATCTTTATATTTAAAAAAAAATTAATATTTCAATGTTGTGATGATAATCTTGAATAATTCAATATAGTCACTATATTGAATTTGTGCTACTAGTATTAATTAAAGAATTTTGAAAAACTGGCGGCAGTTCTATCTCTCAAAATAAATGATAGAAGGAAACATGATAGACTGATTGGAATGAAGGAATCTTATAATATATAAAAGTTTAAAATATTTATTTTTATTTCCAAAAAAAT